TACAAAATAAGATTTGATAAAATTTAAAATATTCATTTCTTGCGCAAAATATGCGAATAAAAATTGTTGATAAATATTGAAAAAAGTATTCCGTGCATTCAACATATAACATTTTTACGTATAAGCGCAATATCTAAGGAAGGAGCTAGCCGTAAATAAAAGCAAGACGTTTTGGGGCCTATAACTTTAAAAAGGTTAATTTTACGACAAAACCTCACGGGAACTTTTTGTCTACTTTAATTTTGAAGGACTGATAGTTATGGAGATATAAGAAAAAATTACTTAGGAAAACCACATTTAAACATCCCCCCTTCGTCAGACTCACCCCGCACACTTCAGGATTTTTAGTATAATATGTGGTAGGTACCAAGAAACAATCCTGACAAGTTTCAAACCTCCGGGATTTTTTCCCGTCGATCACCAGTTTTTGGTCTAATTTGACTGGGCTATTTTGAATGGACCCAGTCCAAGCAATGGACGAACGCGTGCCTATTTTATAAAATATTAAAATTTTGAAAATCTTCGTCTCTGCTTATTCTTACAGGAAACACTGTTCTGGATATAAACGTAAGCGGTAAAAATAAAGGTGAACAAATTTGTCTAATGATAGGCATTCGAACGTTCTTTTGAAGGACATTTTCATTATTTTGCGAGAAAGCATCCCTCCTTCGGTTTCTTTGCTATTAATTATTTCAGAATTTGTGATACAGTTTTTTCTTATAATCACACTTCTCACCATGTCCATACGGGTGTGGTGAAGAAGTAAAGAGTTGGTAAAGAGCCCCCCTCGCTTTGGGAATCCTTTAAGTCAGCTTTTGTTGTTTTTGAAAATGTGTTAAGTTGGCAGGAACATCGAACATTCCTACCTTATCTTCTAATAACTGGCTAGTAAGAATAGACGAAAAGTTTGTCAAAGTTTCTAAAGAATAAAACTAGTGATGTTACAACAGAATATATTTTCTCGCATTATTTGTAACTTTTGCAATTCAGAGAGCTCAAAGATGAGAACTGCGCCATTTTTAGTGTCCCTTGCTAGGAAATCGGGGAAAAAATTTAAAAAAATAAATTTAAATGCTTTTTAAAATTTTTCTTCAATTGCCTTTACTTCAATAAAAAATTAAGCGTAAAAAAATTTACGTTACCTTCTTTAAGATTTATTTTTAGGACATTATTTATTTAAGGCAAAAAACTCTATCATCGATATTGTACGTTTGCAATATTGATTATGTGCATTTTTCGAAAATACAGAGTTAAGTGAAAATAGAACATTCGCCATTTTTATAGGCGTACTTTGCTCTATTCGAGAAACATATTAAAGAAATCACTTGACTTGAATATTTTAAGAAAATAGTTGTTAACAAAAATCGCAAATTGCACCAAAATTACGCCAAAATTACTCATATTTTCGAACATTTGTAAATTACCACGTACCATTACCATGGACCGTCATCTGCTCACCGTCACCCAATCACTACTACCCGCTCAACCTCTTTAACACCGTCGTCCGGTGATCGTATTTTCTACCGCTCTTTCCGACACAGTTGCATTTTCCTCGTTGTCTTAATCGCCTTCGTCGCCTTCTATGTGGCGGTCACCATCACAGTCTCCTCTATACCTGTTTCTGCCGGCATCGTGACTCTAACGTCGTCACCACAGCTGCTGGCCCCAACGTCATCGCTGCCATTGGCACACGCTGCCGTAGAGACTGTCATCTCTGCAACTTCGTGGCCTTCGTTTATTTATTTGTTCATCGTAAAAAAAACAACAATAAAAGTCTATGTGACCTACGGGGTAAAAGTGTAATATGGGTGAGTTTCTATGACCAGAATCTCTACCATGCTCATTTCTATTTTACTAAACGAAGTTTAATTATAACTAAAGGTACCAACGAGCGTGGTTGGCAACATTTGAAAAGAAGAAACTTTCGCTCTCGAGTAAAAGAAAGCATATTTGCATCGGCTAACGTAATACAGATTTGATTTTAAAATATACCTAAAACTATTAAAGAAATGATCTCTCATCCCTAATCCTCCGCTGACGATAAAAATTGATCGCTACAAAACGTGCGCATAGTGGAGCTATATTTATGACCAGAAACAAAACAAGGGGCCATCTCAGCATTTGTTCAATGGATTAAAGTAAATTGGACTACATACCTGAAAGAGAAAAGATCATTGGCCCAGCACATTATTACAATATTTGATATATATGAAGTATAATACATGTCATATAGTCAATGTTATTTTTAAGCACTGGTTTTCTTTAAATATTTTTAACTTTATACTAATTTTGTATTGCTCGTTAAATTTTGTATTTATCTGTCAATTTATTTTACGTGGAAAACAGAAAACACTGAGACGGCTAGGTGGAACAAGAGCTTCAGAAGCCCAAATAAAAAAATCTCTAATGCACCAGTGGTCTTCCAAAATGAATATTGTAGTTATTGATACTTAATATAGACTATAGTCCTCTGTATTTATAACACGCTAAGGAAAGGCAATTTTTTTACCATTTATAAGAAACCGTCGTCACAATACACCGTAAGTGTGTCACTGAAGGATACGTTATTACTCTCAAGGGACGTAACACACACACAAAAAGGGGGAGGGGGCCAAAATCTAGTAGAGTTTCAACAGATACTTTCTCGAGCGATTTTGGAAATATGGGTGGGAGGTCAGTGTGATTGGTTCTCAAATATCCATTCTGAATAAACTCCAGTTTACGGTTTAGGAAGTAGTTTTGCCTTACGGACAAAGATGGACTAACGGACGTACAGAAAGCATGGGAAAATATAAACCTTTTTGGCATCATGGACGACAAAAAAGTGAATTTCGGTCAACAACTGGGCATCGACATTTAGAGTATTAGATAAGGTTAAACTAAGTATATACCTACTACGTAAACCAGAAAGTAAAAATAAAGAACAGATTATTGTAACCGGAAAACATGTGCACATGTGGCATACGTTACGATGTGAAACACGTTACGTGCATAACATTGTGCTTGAATGAGCTCCGATGCATTCTCTTTTTGCCTTAACACCACGTGTAAATACATAATGAACGTATGTATACATTGTTAGCAAACAAAAGTAATCAAGCAAATTTAATAGACATTTGTCTATGTTAAAATACGTCAATTATTTTTGTTTCTTGTTCCATAAGACTGATCTTTCGTATTGCTAAAGAACGGAAGTTTCTTATGCCCGAATCTACCAAATTATTCCCTTTTGGACGATCTAATATATTTTTTTAGAGTACCTCTACCCTTCAGAGTCGGTTGTAGCTTAAGATATGATTAAGAGTTCCAGTAAGAATTAATTTTGAGTTCCAGTAAGAGTTAATTATGAGTTCCAGTAAGAAGCAATTTTCACTTTCTAAAGAAATATTTAATTTGTACATCTTTTTCCAATTGCGATTTTGCGATAAAGAAATCACCTGGACCCAACTATTACATCATGAGGATTCGGTAGTGTAGTAATTCAGAATTTCCAGTTTCACCTGGCGGGGAAGCCGCCACAATGTCTGCTGCTATAAAATTTGAGTTTCCTGTGAAACATGTTGGGAAAGTTTGGGGAGGACGTGGGGAAACATGTGAGGAACAAGTGGGTTGATTGATTACAAGTGATTCCTGACGCGACGAGGGGAAGGTCAATAATTCCGGAGGAGTAGTGCATGTTTTTCCTCGGCCGAGGGCGCGATTCTGCGCGGACCTACTGTCGGCTAGCGGAGATTTCCTCAACAAGGTATCTCCCACCAGCACCGTCCCTAGCGGGCAAGCTCTAAGCTCCTGACCGGTGTCATGGCATGCGTGGTAGTGTAGTGCATGTAAGTGCAAGTGTGTGTAAGCGGTAAGGTAGGACAAGGAATGGGAAGGAAAGATCGGCCGCGGTCCGTGACCCGTTTGGTGGGATTCTGCTCCGGCATTCGCCTCGTATTGATCTGAGAAATCACGGAAAACTACCGATCAGAGCAGCCGGCCGCTAGAATTTTCCTCCAGACAGCGACAGGACTCGACCTAACTATCTGGCTAGTGTCTAAAATCCTGTCACAAACGGGATTCAAACTCCAGGACCGCCCGTTTAGAGGCACTGCAGTGACGTCAGTTGATGCTCTGAGCCACTTCTCCCAATGGGAACACGCAGGTAGCATGTAGGGAATATTCGGGGAAACATGCAAGGGACAAGTGAGGGCCTCTGCAATGATTCTGGCTTTGCAGGGATGTGAAGTCTGACCCCAGCTGAGGAAGGGGGTGTGACCGCTAACTCCGGAGATAAAACATGAACTACACTAACGGGAATATTACCCAGAGCATTTGTCGTGCATGAAAACATGCAATCAATGCATCAATCAATCAAATGATCCCGCGATTCGTAGCACGGACTTAGTTAACTTCCTCCAGGTCCGGCCACCCGAACCGGTAGTTAGGCGACTTAATTTCATGTAAATAAGCGTTTCTGATAACGTGTTTGGTCCGGAGCGGCCCGCGAGAAAATTCGCCTCTTCGGACCAGGAAAATACGATCACTTTACTACGTGACCAGACAGGGCTGCAGCCAGCGTTCACGCTTATTTCCTGGACACGGATGTTTCACGAATGTTTTTGTCGTTGTAAACCTTACTAGAGGCACTCTAACGTCATTATTGAAGTTTGTACGATCAATATTGTCTTTACGTTTAAAGATGTTACTAATTTATAATTTATTTGTTCATCTAGTAAACGTACTTGTTTAACACGAATGTTAGACCGCCAAGGAAACATATATTGCATATTTTGGTGTTACGGCTAATTTCATGTTAAGCAAGTACGGACTAACGAGGGCTTATTGTCAACAATGTAAACCTTACGTCAGCGCTACTGTCTCCGACACCTCAGGTCGCCGCCGCCTTCGCGTCGTGTCTGCCTCCTCCGCCGCCGTCCGCCGCTTGCGGAGTAGCCGGCCTCGGCCAGGGCGGCGGCGGAGGCGGTTGGCGCGCGTATATAAGGCGCGCTTGCTCTGCCGCCGTTAGATGGTCGCTGTCGCCGCCGCTTGCTCCATTGCCGCCATGAGTCCCCGCCTGGCCCTCGCCGTCTGCCTCGTGGCCGCGCTGCTCGCCTGCGGTGAGTCGCCTTGCTCCGCTGGCGCGGGGAACCTCACGGGCCCCTACGACGAGGAAACGAACGCGTTCTCCTCAAACTAGTTTACTTCTTTATTGCCTGCAAACATCACGTTAAACTTTCTATTGTTCACGTACGTAAAGAAATTTTAATATTTAATGTGATTTGTTTTTACTCGCGATTAGGCCGACTTTGACTGCGCGTGCATGCACCCTTCATTTACCGGGGCTCAGTAGCATTATCGCGGTGGCAGGTGCATGGGATCAGCATCTAGCTAGATGCATCTTCTAGACACACATTCTTCATC